TGTAGTTCTAGTGTGGCCTGTGGTACTCTTTTCTGCTCTGAGGCATTGTGTGAATGGTGCTGATCAAGAGGATGGTGGTGCTGTGATGCAGTGAATGGGACTCTCTAATTTGTGAGAACCCTGCTCCAAGATAAGCTATGATCAAATTGTCCCATGATACAGGATGTGTAAAACACCTCTCTTGGCATGCTGGCATGTGGTACCCATGGCATACTTGTGTGCTGTGCTGTTGACCTCCCATGTTATCATGTAGTGCAGGAGCCAGATTTCCTTTTGCAGCATCTGCAGAGTGCTTTTTTTGCAGCCCTGTTTAGGAGCTTAGCAGCAAGTCTGGCAGTACTGAAGGCTCCCTGCCATGGGCCTGCTGTGCTTCAGAGGCAGACTGCTTCACACCCAGACTGGCTGTGCTAGCAGAAAGTATGTCCCATCATTGGGGTAGCACTGTACCAGCAAAAATGGTGAGGGCCCTGCCTGCAGGCAGTGTTTATTATGAGGATATGGGGACATTCCAGCTTGTAATGATTTTTGTTTAGGTAGACTCAGGCCTTTCCTTAGTAAACAAGACAGCATTATCACACAGCTGCTTTGTTTTGTGGTGACTGACTTCACACATAATAAATAGGTTAAAGTTAACTGAAGCAAGCATTGATTTTTCTCTTAGTACATGTGGGATTTCCTCCTTTGGGAATGCTTGAGTGGTATGGGAAGCCTTCAGGGTGGATGTATGTGTGTGAAGATAATGCCGTGTATTGGAGCATTTCTTTTTCCCCACTTTAAGTTTTCCTCTTATGATCTCTTACCCAACTCCCCCAATTTCTTTCAGGCTGTAGCAAGTAAGGTTCCTGCTCCCACTCAGAAATTTCATGGGGTGATAATGATGGTGAGACACACAGGGAGGATTGAGTATGTGCAGTGCTGAAGGAGGAGAGGGGCATGAAGCAGTGATGGGTAGACCTAGGCAGAACAGAAGGGATGGGGTACTGGACAGCAGGTCTACAACCAGCAGTGGAGGTACTGGTTATTGATGTGTTATGGCAGTTAATACCTTGGTTTATTTTATTTTTCTTTGAAATGAAAATCACAGAATAGGAAAAGAAATAAAAGAACCCCCCAAATGATCAGTGCTGCTTTAGAAGGCTTTGGCATAAAATGATTGTCAAGCTTTATTTGTTTCTTTCTTTAGATAGGGTCATTAGACTCCCCTCCATCCCCTCCAAATTATCTCCTCCAACCAAATATAACTTCCCCAATTGTCTTTCTCTCCTCAGTTGAACCCAGTACCCCCTTGGTTATAGGCATATTCTATTCCTTTAGTTTTGTGACACAATTTCCCTTCTGGAACATTTGCTTACTTGCTTACTTAGAGATCTTCTGCCTTGCCTGGTGTTATGGCATATGGTTGCCTTACATCAATTAAAAGTCAACATGGTCCAACAGAATATAAAACCAACCCCTGCTTCTTTGAATGGCTGTTTGCAGCTGGGTGGGGATTAAAGCAGATTGTAATGGATTAGACCAGTGATTAAAACAGCCTGTAATGGATACTGTGTTGAACTATTCCATTTCTATTCTTGGATATAGACCGTGAAAATCCAGGGTTGTCAGACGACATCCTCACTGTCACCGTGACAAGCAAGAGGCCAGGTTTTGAAGCAAATCTGATGTTCCTGCAGCAAGAATGGTACAAACTGGAAAAGCCCCTTTTCTCTGTGCTGCAGATGGGCACGCAGTTCGCTAATCGTGCAGGAGATGGGGGTGTTGCTCACGTTACCTTTGTTTTCTAGAGAAGGAAAGAGACTAGAGAACAGCACTGCTGCTTCTCTCTTTGGCACTGGTACCTCTGCTAAGAGCAGGGAAATCCGCAGCTGAGAGATTTTAATAGAATCATAGAATAGTCCTAACTCATCAGTGAGACTTCAGCTTTCGTCCTGTTATTTAACAGTAAAAAGCAGGCACTGATGAAGGGTTTTGAGGATTTTCTTTGGAAACACCTTCTTGTGGGTATCTGTCCGAAAAACAAAGGCCTGGGGTAATCTTGCTAAGATAGTGTGAACTGAATGTTTGGGATTGTCCCTGAGTGTGGCGGGTGTGGATGATACAGAGGATGATTTTAGCTGCAAGTAAAAACTCTTCAGTCTGCAGGGTAGGAGAGATCTGTTATCGGGGTGATGAGAGTACTGCCTGAAAGACAGTGTTGATGAACACACCTGCGCATGAAGCCCATCACATTCTGTGCCATGTCCAGCACAGACTGGCTCTTGTGGTGACAAAGAGTGATGCGGTGGACACAAAGCAATGCCTGGTGCTGGCAGGAGTTAGGAAAGGAGATGTGTCCACAGGGTCCTATCTTGGCATTTGTGGGCTTTGGTTGGAAGTCAGGAATAGTGCTGCACAAATGAGTGGCTGATCCAAGTGTAAACAAGGACTGGGTCTTAAACACTATCCAGAAAGGCTGAGAAGATTAATGGGATTGGGTGGACTGCACAGTGACTAAGCAGTTGCAAGTGCTAGCCCCACGGTAGCTTTTACTTTGTGGTGACAGGGGTTCTGAACATGCAGAAATTTTCAGGAGCAGCAGTGAGCTGCTGCTGGGTCCTAAGGGACTGGAGAATCATAGAATGGTTTGGGTTGAAAAAGACTTTAAGGTCGCCTAGTTCCAGCCCCCTGCCATGGGCAGGGATGCCTCACACTAGACCATGTTGCCCAAGGCTTTGCCTGACCTGGCCTTGAACGCTGCCAGGGATGGAGCATTTGCTACTTCTTTGGGCAGAGAAACTTTAATCATAATGTAAGGACAAGTTCTGCGTGTCACAGCTGCAGCCTCAGTGTGGGAGGGTGACATTAGGGTGGGCAGCGCATCCTTTCACAATGCAGAGCAATGGCAGGATCCAGGGGTCGCATGCTGCTGATGCCGCAGACCTGGAGACACTGTTCTTGCAGCAGTCAATCTAGGGAGACAATGGAGGTCCTGTTCCTGAGCATACTATGTTGTTCTTTCATTAGCAGTGGGGGTGCATTCTGGGGGCTGTCCTGGCTCTGTGCACACAGGTGTGTGTAACTCGCTCAGTCCCTCCGCCCAGGGTTTTATGGATAGATTCTGGCTGAGGCCCACGTCACTGCTCCCACACAAATGAAATGTCATCTCCTAAACGTTTTGGCAGCGTACTTTGAAAAGGAGCCGATTCCAAGCCAGAAATAACATCCGTTCGGCTGGGGGGCGGGAGATTTGTTTCCTCTGCCCCCACCTCCCACTCTCCCTCTCTGCGTGGGGATTTGCAGCTCACGGGCAGAGCCGTGCCCGTGGGATGGAGCCCCCACCGCGCAGTGATCGGCTCCCTCAGCCTCCCCACACCCCTCATCCTCCTTCCCGGATCTGTCAGTGCTTTCCTCCTACCCCGGACCCCCTTTTCAGGCCGGCAGGACAGCTATTTAGCGGCAGCTCCCACCGCTCGCAACAGGCATCGGTGCTCGCAGTCACCTCTGCCTTCATCCCGCTCTCCCCAAGCCGGGCTGCTCGGACTCCCCCGCCCCGGTCAAGAGCCTGCAGCAAGAGGCTGCTAAAGAAGCTCCAGCGCGGGCACAGCCATCACTGATCCGCTCTCTGTCCCTGTCTCCCTCTGCTCCCCCCCCGGGCTCCACGGAAGACCCAAGATAGGCGGGAGAAACTGTTGAGCTGTCCCTGTGTTGGGACTGACAAGGCGGGGGGGGGAAGGACCACGGGGAGAGCCGTGTAGTTGGTGGATCCGTCCTTGGACGGCAAAGAATGGCTGATGTGGTAAGTGGGCGGGTGGGACGATTAACAAAACGCTAATTATTGCCACTTTTGAAAGGCAGAGGAGAACGGGGAAAGGTCTGCCGTGGGTTTGATCTAAAGGGAATATGTGCCGACGTGCTGCTGCAATGAATCTCTCCGGAGGAACGTGACACAGGCACGGGTGGCAGTGACCAGGGTGACCCCCGCGACGACGGGGTTCGCCTTCGCACAGTTCGATTAACTCACACCTTGCCCGGGTGCTGAAGCTGCAAAGGCTCCTTGGGCTTTGCCAGCAGAAAGCTGGTGTCCTGGCCGGGGGAAATGTGGCATCCCTGCAATGGGAGCGGGAGCGCTGCGCTGCCATCATCTAGAGATACATCTCCCTCGCTCTTTCTCCCGACACAGTCCCGAGACGCTGCTGCAGTGAGATAGCTGCCTGCAGACACTGCCCTTTCTTGGGTATTCGCCCCCCAAATAAATCCTGCTAGTCTCCCTTCCTGGACGGTGGCATGGTTGCTGGGATTCCCATGCACACGAGAGAGTTCCCACGGCCGGGAAGCCCCGCTCGGGACAGGCACATCTTCACGCCCGGAGCCGGCTCTGCTGGGTTGCTGAGCCAGTCGGTACGGGAGAGTCACCCAAAAGCCACACTCACCCAGGCTTGTTGCTTTGCACCCCTTCCCCAAGTCCAGCGTTTATGCATATATAGGCACGCACACAGGGTGAGCAATACCTACGCTGCTGTAGATACGAGTGTATGTAAATACACATCACGAGAAACGCTGAATGACGGCTGCTCCCAGGCAGGAGAGCAGCCTCGGGCAGGAGCTCGCAGACCAAATCAGGAGCAAAGACTGAGTGATGCTCCCGCTGATTCGGCGCGGGGTCCGTGTCCCGCTCCCGCCCCCGGCCCCGCTCCCGGCCCCCGGCTGCGAGGCGCGGCTGGGGACTCGCTGGTGTATTTCAGTGGCGGCGGCGGCTTGGCAAGGCTCGGGGCTCCTCCCCCCGTGTGGTGTTACCCTCTCACTTGATCAAATCCTTGAACGTGAACAGTTTCACTGAAAAGCACTTTTGAAAAAAAAAAAAAAAAAAAAAAAGAGGAGAGAGAATCCACCAAGAGCAAGGAACAGAATCCAACAACCGGGGAGAGAGTTGGGATTTTTGTTCTTTTTTTCCTTCTTTCCTTTTTTTTCCCTTATTTTTTTTTGTCCTTATATTATTTTTTTTTTCCTGGTCAGCGTCAGAGGCTGAGGAAGAGGGAAGAGAAAGAAGAGCGAGAGAAAGAGGAGCCTATCGCAAATACTAATAATTATTATAATTAGAAGCCGGCCCCTTTCTCTTTAAAGAGAAAAAAAAACCACCCTAACCGCAGCGGCTCGCCCCCCCCTCCCTCTCCGAGCCCCCCGACTCGCTCCGCAAAGGCATGGAGAAGGGGACCAACTGCTTTCCGACCTGCCACACCATTTTTCTCGCCTGGACATGGCTCTTACTCCTCTCTTGGTGTTGCACCGGCGCCGAAATAACTTGCAGATCCTGCTCGTCTCCATCGCCCTCCTGGCCGGCATCCTCGTCTCGCCTTAGGCAGGAGCAGCGACCGCCGCCGCCGCCGCCGCCGCCGCGGGGATTACGGAGCTGGCCGGGCGGCCGGGCGCGGGGCTCGGCCGGCGCGGACCCGCTGCCGGGCGGGGAGCCGGGGGGCCGCTCGGGGCCGCGGGGAGCGCCGATCCGCTCGGCGGGGGCGGGAGGCGGCGCGCTCGGGGGCCGGGGCCCGGCGGCGCCGCGGAGCCGGCGGAGCAGCGAGGGGCGCTCCCGCGGGGTGCCCGCGGCCGAGGGGCAGCAGCGCGGCGGCAGGGCTCAGCCCCGCGGGCCGCTGGAGGAGGGCAGAGCGGCGCGGCTGCGAGGGGCAGAGGAGCTGAGGCTGAGCAGCACCACCTTCGCGCTCACTGGGGATGCGGCGCACAACCAAGCCATGGTGCACTGGTCCGGCCACAACAGCAGCGTGAGTACCGACCCACGGACCCGACCCCAACCCGGCTCGGTTTGGCGGGGAGGGAGCCGCGCTTGCCGCTGCGGCAGGGGGTGCGCGGAAGAGAGGGGCGCTTGATGGGGACCTTGCTCTGGTCGCCGCAGGGAGGGGGACGTCGAGCGGTGGCAGCAGAAAAAAGTTTTCCCGGGGAAAGATGGGGAATGGGAACACCTTTCTTCCCCCGCCCCCAGGCAGAGCTGCGATCGCAGGGGCAGTGCGATCGGAACGCAGCCAAAGGGTGGATGGAGCTTTTTCCTTTGCTCAGAGAAGACCCCCTGCTCCCCACTCTGCTCTGTCCCATGTTCCTGAACGGCTGGGTCCCCTTTCTCTCTGATTCTTCGTATGTAATATCCACCTCGGCACGCTTCGCTGCCTCTGTGCCAGGGGGGTGAGAGATGTACAGTGGTGGTGGAAAAACCCTCCTGTTCCCTGCGCTGCACGCTGGCGACAAGAGTTCCCACTAAGTCATTTAAGGGTGGAAAGCCCCAGAGCACGTTAAAGGTCTCGGTAAGGAGGCAGATAGTGTAATCACAGTGAAAAGTTTATTAAAAATCAATGTCATGTCATGTCATGCCTTTTCCCTGTAGGCAGTAATAATGAGTCACTGAAGTGCCCCTCAGAGTCTGTGGGACTCTGTATAGGGGTGTGTGTGGGGTAGGTGTCCCACGATCCCACGCACCATTGTGGTGCAGGACCCTCCCTCGCACCCTTCTTTGCAATGCCTGGCAGATGACTGTGGACAAAACTTCAACTGTCTTTTAACTTGGTATCAGCCATACTATTTCCATTCTGATGTGAAGTCTGAGAACAGGCATAACTTAAAGGTCTGCAGGAAACCTTTACGTCTGGTGACAATATTCCCATTATTCTGATTATTATGGCTTGTCATTGCCTTGAAAATGCCTCTTTTATTGTTTTGCCACTATTGGAAATGGGCATAAAGCAATTAACAGCATGAAACAGATCAGCTAGATTTTCAGATACATTCTTCATGAAACTTATTAGTCATTAAAAAGCAAATTGTCTATCTATCTATCTGTGCATCAGCTATAGCTTTATAATGTGCAGTTCAACCACCTCTTTATTTTACTGACTGGAAGTTTTTTTCCCTATTTAGTATTACTTAGGCAATAATCCTGACAGCAATGTAGATGTTACTTTGATTTAACCAATTTTTTAAAGGCAGTTGTGTTTGCCAGACATGGATTCCACTCTCATTAAAGCTGAAAGCAAACATTCAAGAGAAAACAGCTGTGTGGTATATTTCAGCACTATGCTTGTCTCTAGGATTATTTATGTTTAATATAACATGGCATGTAATGAAGAAAACACCCTATGTTCTCTCTCTTTTCTTTCATTTTGGTGCTGAATCAAGGGGCATTGAGCAAAAGAAGCTAAAATCCCCCCCCATCCCTTCCCAGCATGGATTTTTGAGTATTTCTGGTTGAAGTAGCAGAGAAAACTCATTCTGTAGGCATTTACCGGGGGAAAGAAAGGTTATTTTTTTTCTAAAGTGCAGGTCAGAAAGTGATTTCCACAGAATTTTGCCTCCTTTTTTGTTTTCACACAAATATGCTATTTAAATAACTACTTTCCTTTATTGTTTAACTCCAGGTGACTAAGAAAGGTAATGAAGGTAATTGTTCACACCCTGAATAACTTGAGGTTTTGCACCTCAAGATACTGTGCGTTAAAAGCTTCCAACTCAAAAGCGCAAGCAAAAGGCTGGTGGTTATTGCCAGTGTGGTATTTGTAGGCAGGAAAAGCAAGCATGTTAATAAATACTAGTCTTACCTTCTTGTGATTTTTCTAATATGAAGCTTAACATCTTGAGACTTTCTGTCCCATCTCTTGAAGGAAACAGCTCCATTTAGTGATTAAATTGGGTTTTTTTAACAGTTTAGAGGGAAAGTTAAATGCTTGAACCTGAGTCCTTTTATTTAGCAGCAGAGAAGGCTGAATCCAATGCCAGCTTTTCTGCTGCAGTTTAGTTTTTACCTGATTCTGAGCACTGGGGTGTCTGTGGCACAGGAACGTCAAGCAAGTTGCCCAAGGTCACTCAGGGAAACAGCATGGCTTTTGCCAGCCACATCAGTTCCCAGTCTCTCCCTTCCAAGCATACATTTTCTTAGGTCATAGTTAGATATAAAGCAGCAGGAAGGTGTATTGAAAATGGACAAAAGATAGCAACTTGTGTCATGATTATGCCAGATGACTTAGGAGAGCAGATAGGACATGTCTGTATGTTGTTATTTTCAGGCTACCAAAGCAGTGAAGAGGCACACAGCTTGCTTTTACCAATGGTCTGTTCCTTGAATAGACTTCAAACCCTGTGTTTTTGCCACTTACGACTTATTAAAAACACGATCAATCACATTTCATGCAGTGAAGCAGTGTATTTCAAATCACACACGGGTGGTGGGGGATTCCTAACAAGTGGGTGAATTTGCAAAGGGGGGAAATCATGGTAATAATAAAATGATGCTTTTACCGGGACATATAGATCTACAGACACTTTGCAAAAAGGAGATCTTTGCAGGGGCTGCACATCCTGTTACCTGGAATATTAAAAACCTCCAGTGTGTTTTTATAGCTATTGTTTTAAGAGCAGCTCCCTCTCCCTCCATCTCCTAGCCCCCTTTTCTCCCATGTCCCTCAAATTTCAAATTAACTTATTAAAAAAATAATCCCTTCCAGGCAACAAACTTTTGTTTCTCCATTTGCAGATAGTGAGGTCAGGATTAGGATAGAGGCAAAAGGCTGGTGAGATCAGGGAATTCGGGTTCTCTGCTTTGTCCTGCCCAGAGGCTTTTTCTGCGACCTTAGGAAAGACAATTAACCTCTCTGGATCTCCTCTTCCATGTTAAATGAGGATAGTACTGCTTAGCTACCACAAAGTGGTGATGTGGAGCAGAATTCATATCTGCTTTGTACAATACCTGAAGATCTTCAAGTGGAAATTGTTAGGAAAATGCAAGAATACTGTTCTGTGTGGAAATGAGGTTTGTGCTGTCTGTGCTCTTCGGAACAGGAGTTGCCTTAATTCAGTAGGTCTGATACTAGAAAAAGCAAGACTTGTACTTAGGCTTCAAGGATCAGTCTGCCCTAATGGTATTTATTGAGAGGTCACTGAAGCTCTTGAGGGACCTAGTAAAGATCAGTTAAAATGTTGGGTTTTTTATTGCTCAGGCCTTTCCGAAGGAAGGAGAATTTTAATGAAAACTGCTGTTATTCCCAGAAGATCTGCAAGGCCTTCTTTTTTCAAAGCCATTCTGCTCTGAACACACACTGTGCGCAAATGTGCCATTTGGTGAGCAGTTGTACCCTCTACACTTGTTTTCCCTCTCTCTTGATGATTATGTCATTACATGAAAATTTCCCTTGGTCTGCTCACCAGATGATGCTCTCTTCAACCTCCCTGTGAAGATGATCTGTTTCCTTAGATTGTCTTGTTTTCCTTCATCTCTCCCTGATTTCTGGGGTAAGGACCTGCAAAAAATACATATCAGCACCTTCAATGCTGTTACAGGTTTAAATCTCACTATCTCATTTCTTGACAATAGTTTACTCAAGAGATTGCAACAAGCTGCAGTGGATAAAACAACTTACTCAGGTTGTTCTCCTGATATGATCACTGATACGATATGATCCTGATATGATCATGTGATATGTTTGCCACTAGTGGAATGGTAAACAGAGACTGTTGTCATTAGGTTTCAGAGTAGCCAGTCTGATGAATGTAGCTGTTCATAGGAAGTACTTAATTATGTCCATGCTTTTTCCATATTGGAAGTGCTACAAATTTTGTGGTGTTGTGGGCAAATTTTTGTTGTTTTTCATTTGTTTGTTTTTAATATACAAAACAAACATGAGCATTTTTAGCTTTCTTCTAACCTCTAGAAGACATTTGCAATCCATTATTTATGTGGAGGCCTCAGTTTATGATCGTAGTCTGAGATAGTGTGGGATACATAGGTATCCCATGTATACATGCCTTTGCCTTTCTAGGAACCAGAGGTAAACTTCAGGCTTAAAGATGACAAAATGTACTGTAATGCCACAGTAAGAGCAGGAGATGGCATTTGTGTAAGGCATGTGCAGTATTTCACATTGCTTCAGCCAGGCCTATCTCCTATATGATCCTAAGGGTTGGATTTTTCATACTATTGGGAAAACGTGATCTGCATATCCTTAATATCAACGCGATGCAGCAGTGCAGAATTTAAACAAGAAGTATAGTGTGCCCAAGTGATATAGCTGCTACTGTGCAGACCATGCAACTGCATTCATGGTTGGCCTTATGATCCAGGTTCTGAAAGTTGGGGAAGGCAGGATTAGAGCTGGTGAGAGGCTGGACTAAGGCCTTGTTTTATCTTGTCAGCCATGTTACTCTGTTTTGTCCAGAGGTCTAGTCAGCCTGTGGCTGTCATCTCTGCAGTTAACATGGTTGTGAGAGTCACTCCAAGACTGGGAATATGAGATGTGTTTGGGACAAGACACTGCTAAAGAGGAGGCTAAGCAGTACAGTAGCCTACAGCCACCTGAAATAGAGTCACACAGAAAATACAGCTTGTTTTACCAGTTGAAGAGGGATTAACATGTGGCAATAGCCACAACGTATGTCAGATTGGACATCAGGGAGAGTTTCTTCCCAAAGAAGTTGGTACAGGAGGGCACCAAAAAGTTTTATGAGTCTGTCTTTGGAGATTTTCGAGCCTGACATACACATGATCTGATGGTAACAACCCTACTCTGAATAGGCTTCTGTGATTCTTTCCCTCCTGCTGCCACTGATCCTATTCCCTAATCCTGTGCAAGCTCTGGCAGTGAAAAGCAGGTTGTACAAGTTCTTGCAGTGATGTCTGTCTCTTCCGGGAATGATTCTTCTCAATGCTGTTGGCAGTGTTCTGGTGTGATCTGCTAATGTACTGGTGGTTTGATGCTGAGACATTACTCACTCCCATGGCGAATTA